CAATTCTATGGTCCATTCACATATCAGGGTTAACCCTGCAATTACAGCTTCAGCTAATGAAGTCATTTAGACCCAGTTTGCTCCCCCCAAGTCACTTTTGTTTGTGCTTTTGGGGCCTGAGGCTGTGGGGTGTCCTTGAGCTCCGGGCCCAGAGGGATTGTTGTGTGTGACCAAAGTGTGAGGACAGTGGCTGACACTCTGCATGCAGCTCAGAGCTGTGCACCAGTGCACTGCAGCAGCTGAAACATAAAAAAACTAAAATCCTGAGGCATTACTCCCATATGCCCTCCCCAGAGTGGTTGTCTGGGCCCAGTTCCACCAGCAGAGCAGAATTCCCCTCACGTGGCGCTGTCCTCGCTGCAGTTTGAGTCGCCAACGTCCACGGTGGCATGGACACCGAAGGTCCTCTCTGTCAAATCCAGCTGGGTGTGGTTCTCCAGCCTGATGATGATCCTCTTGGCCCAGAACAGGATGCAGGGGGTGCCATTGATGGTGACGTTCAGGGGGCCATAGTGGCTGTGGGGGAACGGCCTCCAGGGCGCTGCTCCCCACTGTCCTGCCCTGCTCAAGTTGTAGCTGACAGCCTGAGGGACCACACAGAGGAATTCTGTCAGAAGATGTGGTTTCAGGAGTTAACCATCTCACCAGAATACACGAGCCAGCCCTGGGCTGAGGGAGCAGAGGGATACCTGGCTGTATCCCCCCCCCAGCACGAGGATGGCACCTCACAGGACATCAGCCCCAGCACAGAGGGTGTTCCCTTCGGCTGAAGACTCTCTAGAGCACCTCTAAGAATTACTTCAGCCCCCTGGGAAGGACTCAGGTTGTGCCAAGGACACAGCCCAACATGCTGGAACACACGGGGCAGCCGTCCAGGTGGGACAAATGTGAGTTTACATTTACATTTACAGCACGCAGCCCACCATATATCCGTGTAGCGTTTCCTTCCCTACCTGAATGGGTGCTGTTCCCGCTTGGACTGCATATGGCCTCCCATACAGTGTTTCAAAAGGGCTTAATTTCCATTTTGCCCTTGTTTTTGTCCAAATTTATACCAGTGCCAGTGCCTGGGGCAGAGGTAACTTTGCTTCTTGTCCCCATCTAACAATCTTTTGTTTGATCAAATGGTTGATCTTTTCCAGCTGGCCACTTGACTGAGGATGGTATGGAGTATTCCACTCCCAGTCCATACCCAGGGGGGTGGCTAATGTGCTGCACAACTCTTGAAATAAAGAGTTCTATCTGAATATATGGTGGCCGGGACACCAAGATCAAAAAAAGCACTGGGAGAAGAAAATCTTTTATCGTGGGGGCAAGTGAGAGTAAAGAAATTCATAAAAACAGTCCCTTGGGATGTATTTTGACACACTGGAAGGAGATGGCAGGTTATGGTGGCACGGAAACTAGAAGGGAACTTGTTAAGTTTTGTACTCAATGGTGGCCATTCTATAGGCTTGAGGAGGGTGTCAAGTGGAACCTTAAAGCTGGAACCCTAAATTGTGAGGCCCTATTCCAGCTAATGCTCTTTCTTAGGAGGGAACAGAAACAGCAGGAAGTGGCTCATGCTGATATGTTTTTCACCCTTTAGAATCACCCCGAGTGGCAAAGAGATTGTGGGATTAGGCCACCCTCTGACCCCCTGGTGCTGGCTCTTGAAAAAGAAAATAAAGCTAACAGGGGAAAGCCCAAGCGGTGTTGCAGGGCTTGGTGGCTTTAAATCAGGGAAGCACCTGCTGCAGATTGGGATGGATGAAGTAGGGATCCCTGCTTTTACAACATCAGCTGCAGGACTAAAACCCAGGGACTGCAGCTTCCATGTCATCAGACACCAGGAAACTGCTATCCCTTATAAGCCAGATTTCATAGCAAAAGGACAATTTGACTGTCAGGCAAGACAATTTGACTTAGGGCTGAGAAAGAACTGAAGAATTCAACTGCCATTCTCAGATTTCACTCAGATTTCCAGTCACCATCTCTGTCCTATCTAGACAGGGTAACACACCCAATATCTGTTTTTAACATGTCATTATGATTGGAAGCTCACATTAAAACAAGAAAGCTTTTCTGAGTCCCAGTCATAAACAGCATCTCACCAGGCTCCAGAAGGGACACAATTAAGCCCCAAGGTTTTGTCTTGGCTTAAAGAGAGATTTGTGTGTGTGTGTGTGCTGTTTAGATTAGCAAATAATAACTCTCAGCTCAGACCCTGAAAGATCCTTTTTGGTACTGGACCTTACATATGGCACAAGGATGTTTTAGGATTAAAATTAGCAAGCACTGGCAGCAACAAGCTGAAAGCAAGGCAAGATCATGGTCAGGAAATGTGCTGAGTGGCTATGAGTGTATTTAAATAAATGACAAGGCTGTCTCCTCAGAAGTCCATATGATTTATTCAACATGTTACTAACATTGGAATGCATCACTTTTGCTAAGGAAGCCTTTTATGCTCAGTTTTGGACAAGACCTACAGCCTGGTCTCAGGAAAAAACCTCCCACTGAATATCTGAGGTTTTGCTTAAGCTCTTCCTTCAGTACCAACTGATATGAGAACAAGACTGGTCACAGCAGCCAAATCCCACTGTACAGAATATGGATATAAGGGTTTTGTCCTTCCAGAAATATCCTGTGCCCCAACCCAGCCAGCACCAGCACCTCACTCCTAAGAAAAGCAGAGAGTATTTGTACAAGTGGTGAGGCGGGACTAAATCTAAAACAATGTTTTCTATGGTTTTTTTGGCCATTTCTCATAAACAAAGTAAAACAAATGTAATTAAGCAGTGTCAGCTGAGAGACCTAAATGTGCTGTGAAAAGAGTTCACAGATCCTCCAGACATTACCTGTGCAATTGCCATCTGACTGATGTTAAAGTTTGGCTTCACATGACCACTGTAACGCTGACCTGCAGAAGAAGGAGTGTTATTTCATCATTAGCATATCATAAACATCCATTTATAAACACATTTATAACGGTTCGCACGTTCTTATGCAAACAATAATTATCTCTGCACAAAATGTGTATGTCAGAATTACTTCTCTTGCCTTGGAAAATACTTGACTGGCAGCAAATACTGCCTTCACTACATGTATTTTCTAATTTACCTTTCTTTTCTTTACCTCACCAAGATTCCTCTTGTTTTCACTGGACACCTTGTCACCCTCACTGTGAGGAACTCCACTGCCCCAAAAATATTCAGTCTATGTCTGTATTTATTCATCCTAAACACAACAAAAACTGCTTTTATCTTCATGCAGCAAATTCATCCAAGGGTATGTGAGAAACTGCCTGGCAAAGGTGTAATAACTATGCTGGGAACCTTCTCCCTGCACTGCCAGAGGCAGGAAGCTGTGACAAATGCCCTGACATGCCAGTCCTCCATGCCAGGAGGGTGATGTTTCACAAGCAGAGATCATTTCATGGGCACTGTCACAGCTCCATCCTTCTAACATTTAACTCTGTTTTTATTTGGTTAAAAAAAGGTGAAAGCTTTTTCCTTCCACAGCCTCACTGCACCTCGGAGTTGGACCATAAATTGTTATTTTACCAGGCAAATCCTTTAAAGGGTATTTTTTAAGAGGGTCAAGCTCTAACAAAACATGTGACAGAAGACCCTCCAATGCCAAGAGAAGCAGCATCTGGGGATGAAATCGTCTACAGCCACACTAGCAGAGCCAGCACCCAGGGATCCAGCCCACTGAAAGCCTTACCATGTCTCTGGAGAGATTCTTGGTCTGAAAATTCATGTGAACTAGGAGAGAGGAGAAAAATATTTATTATGCTGCATCTGAATTCAAAGTTTGCATCTTTTTTTGCAGTTTAGTGGGGAAAGCTCCTGTTGCTGCCTCACTCCACAGAACATTCCAAAGGTAGCTCAGCTCCTCGGCTGGTGAAAGCCACAGGAAAAGGGCAAATTACCCCAAAGCTGCTGTAGCCTGGCTAAGAAATGTCTCATTTTCAGAGATCACTCAGCTGGACCAGCCCAGACAGGCACTCCAGTGTCCTTACCACGCTGACAAAAGGCTTTGTTACCCCTCTTGTCCCATCCCATGGGATGTCAGCTTTGGCTTGGGGACAGAGCCAGTCCCAGTGCACAAGCAGGGGAACCAAGGAGAGCTCAGTGCCACCCTCATTCCCCAGGGTGGATCACCTTGGATTTAGAGCAGAAGCAGGGGCTTGGCACAACTTAGGCACAGATTTACACCACGTGAAGACAGCTCTGGGATGTTTCCAGGCAATAACAAATCCCATGGAAGTCACAGCAAGGCTGGGCTCGGGTGAAGCACATCTCAAGAGACAACTACCAGGCTCACGCAGCTTCCAGCATTTGATTTCCTTCTTAGGCATGAGTCTTCACCTGGTGTCAGCACAACCAGCTTTCCTGAGCTCAAGACCCAAGCCCAGTGGATTCACAAACACCAAAAGATCAAAGTCCAAGAAACCAGGCCTCGCCCAGGAGCAGACCCCTCTCCGTGAGTCCCATGAACACCTTCCATATTACAGCAGCTCCCTTGGGACCTGCATCCCCCTTCAGTGGATTGATTTGCCCCTGTGATGGCCTCTGTCCCCTTCACAAGACTTCCACCAGAATTCCCACTCTCCCAGCTCAGCACCAGCCCTCAGACCCTGCACACCCTGCCCTGTTTGTGCCCCTGCAGACCTGTCTCACCTTCCACTGCACACGGAAATACACTTCCATCTTTCCAAACCACCAAAGCAGAAAAAACTGCGGAAATACTCACACAGAGGTCAGCATATAAATATTAGCAATCAGAGCAGTTTTCAGTGTTTACGTGCAGATTTCACCGTAAGTTGATGGAATTGCAAAGTCAGGGCTTAGTGCTCCTGGGGAGTGCTTGGGCAGCAGGGTGAGCCCTCCCTGGTGGGCTCTGTGCCGGGGGATCTCTGTGACCCGCTGGCACACACAGAAGGAGTGATCCCAACCTAATTTCCATCACAGCATCCTCAAGAGCAGATAAATACAAGTCCCAAGCAACGGTGGGGCAGCCTAAAGCCCACCCTGCCTGCTGCCAGGCTGAAAGAACTTTATAAAAGATCTTACATTCAGAAAAGTTCAACCCCGTTCAAATTTTATCTGGCAGTTTTATTTACATACGGAGAGGCCAACTTTGTCCTTGGTTTCAGCTCTGAGACCCAAGTGGCTTCAAGAAGCACTTTCAGAGTGGGTCCTCTTTCTCCCACTGCTTTTTTGGGTGCAAAAAGCCAAAAGCCTGGCCTGGGGTCTCCAGGAGGCTTGAGTCTGCCCATGACAACAGCAGACTTCAGAGATGGGTGGAAACATTCAGATTTTGACAGGCAGGTAACAAAAGATGAGGCCACAATGGACCAAAACTTGTTTTCTTGCTCAAACAAAACCCTCTCTCGGACTGTTAGGAACATGGATCTTGTAATTTGATGCAGTTTTTTTTAACTCTTCCAGTCTTTCTTCATGACAGGTTGTGCCCTCAGGCTGAAAAAGGTGACTGGGGGGGGCAAGTTTTTCCACAATGATAGCTACAAAACCAGGGCACACCAAGAAGACACGAACATACATTATTTAGTTATTCTGACTTTAGTTGTACTTAGCTGCAGCTATATATACACATATCTAGTTATACTTTAACTCCTTTTCACGTGCATAACTAAACACTATCTTCATATATGAATAATTAAGTACTCATAGCCATTTACTCCAGCTTGGAAATCACCACGTTGGACTAAAACATTGGGGCTGGAAGAAGAATGGTGTAAAATTGTGCAATTCATTCCATTCCTGGACAGGTTTTTACGCTGTTTATGGAAGAGGAAAGGTCAATTCTGTGACTCTCCATTAAGAAAAATGAATCCTGCCTCCTCCACGCCCCATGCAGGCACATCCACTCTGGAGGAGATGTCACATCTCTGCTTTCAGCATGAAGACACTCAAACACAGACAAATGTGTGCAGCTGATGAAACATTCATGTTTTCATGAGGAATGCAGAGCAGAGAGTGACCCACGTGAGGGGGGTGCCTGCAGCCAGGCCCTCCTGCTAATTACTGCGCTAGCTAATTAGCAGTGCTGGCTGCCTGCTCTCCTCCTGCAGAAGGCATGCAGTGCCACCAGAAGGGAAATCCATCACCCCACGTCGCTGTGGCACAGCGCATGGGGACGATCCTGTCCCGGTTTTGGGGCAGGCACGAGTGGACCTTGATGTCATCAGCTCTGTCACCTGCCCCTGACACTCTGAGCCCTGAGGTGTGATCCATGGGCTGTCCACAGCCACCCTGCTGCCAAAATAGCAGCTTTTCCACCCAAAAAGTGAGCTGGGAAATCCCCAGGCTCCAGTGCCCTGATGTCCTCAGCTGGAGCACATCCCGTGGAAGCAAAAGTACTGAAAGTGAGAGAAGGGAAAATAGCTACACACTAAAAAATATGTATTCCCTCTGGATTATAAAAATGGTAATTACATGTGTAAGAGAAGAGAAAATGGCCAGCATTAGAGCATTCTCCACAGGAAATAATTTCTAGCACACTGAGTTAGAGACCCTTTTATCAGCCTCTCTTACCCTGAAATTTCAAATTAATTTGATCACAAGTGGTGTACGTTTTGATCAACCATATTTTCCCTTCCCAGTTGGTAAACAGCTCTCCCAGATGCACCCAGGCACGTATGTTGTACATTGAATTTACCACACCAAGCATGTTAGGAACCCACATGAAATTGGATTAGCCCTAATACAAAGCACTGGAAGGGCTAATCACTATGTAAAACCCAATTAAATAAGATTATAAGTATAAAGAAGTGTAAATTTCCTCTTATCAGATGACATTATCCATCTACATAAGATAACTGAGTCTGGCTTGTTTGTCTGCAGAAGTTGATAAACACTCCAGCTCCTGAGGACTTCCATGTAAATAGCATTTTCTGCACGCAAATAACCACATGAATAATCCTGGCACTCAGCAGGGGTCGAGTGTGGAGGCCACAGGCAGTTTTCATGCCATGTCCACACTTCTGCTCTTCGTATCACAGCTCTGATAAACTGCACCAGACGGAAAAACACACTCTACATCTACAGAAACAGTATTGCTTATTTCCATTAGTTCAGAGTCATCTCACCAAGACTGATCATCTCCAGCTGCAGAACTCCCCACTGGCTGCTGAACTGGTTACAGCACAACTGGAAAGTAACATGTGACCTCTCAAATGCACTAAAAATAAAATTTGGGAAGGTGAGGAGCACCTGGGGGTAGTGCTCTGCTTGCAGTCCTAGGGACATTCATCATAAGGAATTTCAGTGAAGTTATGAACCCCAAAAATGTGTAAGTTTGGAGAGACCAGATTCAAGGAAAGAGCTGGTTCCTGCTAAGAAACATCCTGACAAAAAACATCACTGACTTCTAAATGCCTCTGTGTAAGTTCTATCAATAGGAAATACCTACAAACCCCACAACTCTTCTGTATTTTTAATGTGTGATTTGACACAAGAAGACAGATTTCCATAAACATTTTGCAAAGCACCGATTACTAAGGCTGATTTGCAATTTAATGGATGTCCAACAAGGTCTGGATCAGTACAAGATAATACTCAAGCTTCCATTTTTAATACAAAAAGAGAGACTGAGCTCATAAAACTTCTAGCAAATTAACATCATGAAGGCACAATCCCACTCCCAATGAGGAAAAATTCCCATTTGATTCACTGCCATCAAGATCATGATTTCATCTGTTAATAGTGCAATAAAGCACTGCTTGCTGTCTGTCAGATTTTTGGTCTGATTGATAAAAAAAAAAAACTGAAATTAGAAGAAGAGCAGTAAGAAATCTGAGAACTGGCAGAGGAGAGCAGCAAGTAAGCTATTTAATGAAAACATATTGTAGTATTTATCAGCAACTAGTTACCAGATCTCTTAATACAAGCTTAAGCAAATCACCACATGTGCCTCTTGCCTCAAACACACAGATTTTACTGACAGCTGCGACCTTCATCAGCATGTTTGCTCTGTGTGTTTTTGGTGACTTTGGGCATCATTCAACTCATCCAGCTCAGGCTGTTTTCACTTTCCCAATGCTTGGCTCTACAGTAAAGTCCCCTCTTCCCCCTGCTATGATCCGGGCTCACTGTGCTTCATTAGAGAGTGAAACTAATATAATACAATAGCATATAACAATATAATGTAAGAGCACTACTAACAATAAACCCAAGTCTCCAGGAAAGTTTTAAGTTTAATACTCACTTGCAATATTGAATTCACACTTCAAATATTCTACACAGGCAGGATATTTTCTTGAATTCACACTTCAAATATTCTACACAGGCAGGATATTTTCTTGAATTCACACTTCAAATATTCTACACAGGCAGGGTATTTTCTTGCCTGTGTTTCTTGCAGTAGTTTTTTCACACCCTTGCCGTTTCACTATTTATAATTCCCTTCTCCCGGGGACCAGGGAAAGTCAGAGGCGGAGTCATTAAACCGTGAAGGAAAGGTGGGGCAGATTCACAGAAAACACCCAAGTTTAATCAACGCGCGCAAAATTGTTTCAAAGTTACATCTCCAACGCACCGCCTGCTTCAGTATTAACAAATCAATTAATTTCTGCATTAGCGCGGGGTGTTTTCCAACCGGGAGAGGGAACCTCGGACACCTCCTCGCACCCTGAAGGCGGCACGAAGGGCAGCGGTACCGACCCGTTCCTGTTCTCCCAGTACAGACCTGTTCTCCCGGTACCGACCTGTCCTGTCCCCCCCGGTACCC